CTCAATAAGAATTAAAGATCTGCACATATACACATATTGTTCTGATCCAACTTATTTTAATAATGTTATGTCTTTCTAAGCACTTTTACTCTAGAATTGTCTCAAAGCTTGTAAAATTCTTTTGCGCCCGTTTGCCTGTTTACATTTATGCACTTGAGATTGTTGTAAATGCGACAACTACAGCAATATATAAAATTAACATCTCAGTTCACAGCAATACATTAGAAAACATCTGGAGTCACCCTTCAAAATAAAATAATCAACAGCGTGGTTGGAATCTTAATTATATGACTCTTGGTTTTAAATGTTATCTATAATAGATGTGGTCTATATAAAACAGGTTCATTAAGTTCTTTGCATAAATCCATCTCACGTGAAGCAATATCAGCATTTTTATTCTTGGCATTTTCGGTACCTTCCAGAATGAGCCATTACAGGGCTCTGTTACTTTAAGAAAACAACCTGGAGCTGGCCATGTCCACCCCCACTCTCAATACAGTGAGAAGCTCTGATTTCCAAGAGGGGCTCAGAGTAGAGCCGCTGCTCCTCCAGCAGCAGCTCTCTCTCCTACACGTGAGAGGTTGTTCTTTTCTATTTTCCCCATTTGTGACATCACAAATGGGAATTTTTTTAAACGATTTGTTTCAGGCACATAATTCCTACAAGCAAACACTGACAGAAAATAAATGGATGTTTTGTTTTGTATTTGGAGTGTGAGTAGAGGCAGTGGAGACATGGGAGCACAAAAGGATGCAAAAAGTGAGTTTTGTCCCCTTCAAAATAAAAAATTTTTTTTACTGCAAATTAAAAATGTCCTAAACTCCTTTTAGCAAATAACATGATTCATCCATGACGTTACAGGGTGTTTTCACGTCATTCTAGGAAAAATGTGTTTCTTGGGATACTTGGAAATGTTTCCCCCTACGACCCTGAAACTGCCTAAGGTATGAAAGGTATTTGAAGATTTAAAAAAAAACGATCCAGCATGCTTCTCTTCCCTCTTCTCCCATTCCTAAAACGCTGTTCCCGGATTTAATCCAAGAAAAACTCATGTTATCACAGATTACAGAACTTTAGATTTATTTATGCCAGTGGGAACTGATCACAACCACTGCTGCGTCCAGCAGCACCTTTCTTATTTATTTGTGTGTGACTCTGATGTGGCTCTCCCGTCCAGGAAGGATCGCTGCAGCGAAATGAACCCAACAAACAGGAAATGCACTGAATTTCTGATCAGGTCTCACTATTTCCTTTCATCCCCTCCACTTCCACTAGAAATATCCCGAGTTTGGGACCAAATTAGGAACTAAGAGGCGAGAAAGTTGAGGAAACCGCCAGATCTGCCCGAATGTGTGAATGAAACTGTAATAAACAGCATCGTGTCCGAGTGGATGACGTCGTTTCAGAGCTACTGTCACATAACGTGTTGGTTTAAACACCAACTTCCTCACAAACTGGACCAGGTTGGTTTAGAAAGTAGCCTACTCTCATCCTATAAATGAAACCTTGTCAGAGACGCAACTTCGTGTTTATAACGATACGTACCTCCTTCAAGCGCCACTTTGGAAGCTTCCAGTATGATAATATCCACGCGGAAATAAAAATGGTTTAAATGAAAACAAATATATTCCAAAGGAGAGACAAACTGAGAGGAAAAAACACCTTCCTGGAGAAGGAAAGACAATAGTAGCTGAGCTGTCGGGACAAACTTGGTTGTAAACGAGGAGGAGGAGGCGGAAGAGGGAGAGGGAGGGAGCGAGCAGGAATGCCAGGAATGATGGAATTCAGTTCCTAGCAGGTGGTGAAAATCCTGCGCTCTGATTGGTGGAACGATGAAGCAGTGATATCAGCATATATTATGATGTTGGAGCATTGCATCACATGCTGTCACTGCAGGACACCCAGCTCAGGACTGGGAAGGGTTTTCCTGCACTAACTCCAGTCAGAGGGTCAGGATCCAGGCACGTTCTGTTCCTGTCATCATACCTGCCTCTGCCCACGCCCACCCACGTCTATCCCAGGTGTCTGACCCTGTTTTAACCCCATGTCTTCTCTGTTCCAGTACCAGATTGATTAGTTTTTTTTTTGTTTGTTTTTTGCCAGCATTTTTCTCAGCTCGACAATCATACATCACTATGTCCAAGCTGTTAAAACTAACACGTGAATGAAAATGATCTTAACCCTCATCCAAATATATGGTTGCACAATTTTTGGATCTGGGACAAAAAAATGTTGTCCTGTCCTGAAAAGAGTCCAAGAAAAGCTGTGTGGGTTCAGGACAGTGATTGCGACAGATGCAGTAACAGCTGATAGCTCACCAGCAGCAGAGGACAGAAAAAAGAAAAAGATTTGACATTTGAAGATGTATTTGAACCTGCTTGAGAGTGACTCATGGAGAAATAACAAAAAGGACATACATTCAACAAAGGTCTTTGAAGTTTTTTTTATAGAGCATTTAAATGTTTAGTTACTTCTTTAACCCAGTACGCACCTTTAATCTGTGAAGTTTGCAAAAGCACTCAGATGTTACAACAAACACAATTTCCATTCAAATGTCCATTAAGTCGAGCCTAAAGCAGACATAAACCAAGTAATCCTCAAGAATTAAATTGTTCAAAGTCAAAATCAGAGGGGAAGAAGAAATATTTTAACTGACTACTAGTCCTTACACGTGCACGTCCTCCTTGCCTGGTGCGGCACTACATTTAAAGACAAAAAGAGCAAACATTTACAAATCAACAGCAATTTGACCTGGATGCCAAAATTGACAATAAATGTCCATTATACCTGAGCTCTAATTAACCTCTCTAATAACTTTGGGTGAACTGCACTCACGCTACTTACAAAAGGTCAGATGAAACCACAAATAAAGGAGAAAAGGCTGCATTATTTCTGCAAGGTGCACACCGCAGGCTCAGTGATAGTCCCTCCTCATCACTTCTTTCTCTTTTGCACAGAATGATTTATTTGTTGAAATATTGTTGGCAGAAAAGCAGGACAGAACTTGTGTACAGGCAGAAAAAAACCTCCAATTTAACCAATAATAAAGCTAAATGCTAAACCTTTTGACTCATAAATCACATTAAATCTTTAAGGGAACTTAAACAACCCATGCAGCTTTACAGAAAAGTTATTTAAGCTCAAAAAAATTCAGGCTCAAAATAAGTTTTGATAAAAGGACGGACAACTAAGTCCTTCAGGGGTACTTCTGAGATAAAAAATGCTCATGAAATACGTATGTGGAGTAACCTGGTAGGTAGGTTTTAACGTTGCAAATCTGCAACGCCTGCCTCCAGAGGGTTAAAACCTCACATACTAAATAAGCACTCATGCATCATGAAAAAACATGGCTTCACTTTAAACTCCAGAAATCATGTAATCTAGTTATTTGTTAATTATCCTGTAATAAAAATCTTAAGTGCATGAATAAAAATGTTTATTACAAGGCATGAAATTCAACAGTTTTGGCCTAGGACAGTGTTTTATTTGTGGTCTTTTTACTGCATTATTTTGGTGTAAAAGCTAGTTCTCTTCAGATATATGGGGACAAAATGAGTGAAAAGGCAAATGGCATTTTATGGGTCAAAACCTGCTTAAAAGTTGGTTTAAATTAATATTTAGAGGACCAGGGGCCTCATTTATCAAGCTTGCTTACGCACAAAACGGGGTCGGAAAACTGCGTAAGCAACAATCCACGCAAACTTTGGGAATGATGAAAGAAAACTTAGTGGAAAAATGTGCGCAACTTTAAGTTGACTAAGGACCTGGCTTACGCACATTTTGGACATGGAGAGCACGTGCAGTGCTGCTGCTGAGAAGGATACAATAACATCCTGCAGCATTATCACTTGTACTGCTTCGTTTTCACACAGAACAAGACCCCCCACATGCACACACACGCGCATACACACACATGCGCACACACACACATACACACACACACACACACACACACACAGCCTGAAGTGCAGAATGCGGAATGCAGAATATTAGCAGGGGGACAGATTGAGACAGAATGTCATGCGTCTGTGACAGTCTGTGTCCTGTCACTGTGACCCGAGTGATCATGCACCCTGGCTACTTGGACAAGGGAGATCTCCATTTGGGTGACTGGTTAGTGCGTACGACTTTCACCCAGGAGTCTGGGGATCTAATCCTGATCAAATCATTATTTTTTATATCCGCCACAGATTTCTCTGAAGAACTCACAACATTGACGGCTTCAGCAACGCTGTGCCACTCCGTGGATTTTCTATTATTTGTTTTGCAAAAGCACTTCCTGTCATTTCTCCACCTCCCCCACAAGTACCTCAATGTCTGCTTCTGTGAAATAGGCTTCCTTGTTCTGCCTTGATCTACGGTCACCATGTCATTGGCGGAGCGCTGCAACAGCCGGCTTATGTATATGCATGAGATCCACAAGGCACTTTGCACTGACTATTTATGGCCGTAAGTGGGTGTGGTGAGGGCGGGATGTGACTAAAAAGCAGCTGAGAAACATTTTCGTTAGTCTCCGATTTATTAAGCGGAGATTGCGTGCAGCTGTGCGTACTCCATGTTTGATAGATCACAAACCTGCTTGGCGTAAGTAATTTATTTTGCTGAGCTTAAGTACGGTTTTAGTAAGGATTCTACGCAATGTTTGATAAATGAGACCCCTGAGCATTTGTTGGTGGTGATTAGGGAGAGGGACTTTGTCTGGTCAACTGTCCACCAGGGGGCGAAGTGCTAATAGCATAAATACATTCATCTTTAGCAGCCTGCCAGGGTTTGTCACATCGCTCTACAGCTGATTGCATGTAGATCAGGATTTAAACCAGTCCCTTTGTGATAAACACTGATTTTAAAAATGAATGTTGTGATTATAAACATAAACAAAACAAGGACATACAAGTAAGCTGCTTGTTTTGAGGAGACCGTGTGAGGTTAACCACTGGTATCTAAGCTTTTACAATTTAACACTCCTAGATTAAAAGGACAGAAAAAGAGCGTCAAATATCTGGTGAAGAAAAAAACATTTATATTTAAACACAAAACAAAGATTTATGCACAATATCGCCACCTATGGGCCGGAAGTGTGAAAGACAACCAAGCAAAACACTGACGTGCAGCTGAACCAGAAATGTGTCTAGTTTCTGAAATCATGTAAAAGTATTAGATTAATACGTGATGTTAATCAGTGGTCCACACATAAGACAGAAAAACAAGACTGTGTGTAGGTATGTGTTCACAAACAGCTCACTTTCGTGGGCAAATACACAGATGTGACTGAACTCCTCTCTCGAGGTAAACGTTTGCAGCCCTTTACCTCCCACTGAGTTTTATCGTGTCCATCTCAGCAGTCCTGACTCACTGCAGCCTTGAAACCGTAAAGGTCAAACATTTGGTGCAACTGGGAGGTTAATTCAGCCTGACTCTGGAAATGTCTCCGTCTTGTTCTAATACTATCATGGGTTTAAAAAAGGGCAGATGTACAGATTTACACACTCTGTGGCATTGCAGAAGTCAGAGTGGGATGGTTTCAGTCACCGTTTGTCAAAGTCAAAAAAGGAAAGAAATAATGGATCCTGGATGGTTTGGAAAACAATCATGGGAACAGTCTGGTTCCTAAAAATAATCTGCATCAGGACATCTGGGAGACAGACGATTTCCTCCTCCAGCCCTTCCACATCTTCAACAGTTTCTTGGAGCTGTATGATATGGTCTTCCACAGGCCTAGAGATACACACCACATCTGCATTAGGGCAGTTCCTAATGCACAACAGCAAGCTAAACACACTCTTAAGAGAAAAGTTCAACAACAAGGTAAAAAACTACAACACATCCAGTAAGAGTTCCTACCCGCTGTAGCGATGCCTTTAATGCTCTGTGTTATACTGGAGGACTTCACAATAGATGAGATGCCTGTAAAAGCAGCAATAACACACATAACCAGACTTGTTTTATCATTTCACACACACACACAGAAAAATGTTACTTTTTTTACTCATATAATCCAGTAATCTCAACCTGAAGATTCCTGCGCCCAGTTTTGTGATTTACTTTGTGAAATATTGCTAATTCATTTACTTATATTTGACACTAAAGTAATAGCCGTGACGATGAACATCCTCTGTTTTTACACAAATGCTTCAGTGAATCATACCATAAGATTTATTTCTACACTAGAAGAACATCTCTACCATATTAGTGTACCTTGTTGCACAACCGCCCCGCAGTCAGGGTCTTGCGCCACCTGCAGCAAGATCTCCTCCACATCCCGGTTCTTCCCTGGAGGATCAACCAGCTTGGTGATCTTCTGCTGAAGAGTTCGAGGTAACCCCATCAGCTGGATAAACTGGCCCTCGGGGCTTTTGTCCACCTGGAAGAACATAAACTAGAATGAACCAAAGGTAAACACCAACAGCTGACTTCTCGTCAGAAAGCACAAACGCTGGTAATAACCGTTCTGACGGTAAATAAAAGGATACCTTTCCTAAATGTTTTTGTATCAAACCCTACTTTAATACCACATGGTCTAATTTAGTCATTTTCTACTATTTTATTTATTAGCCTACATCCAACTATCATCTATTAATCCAAAATCTGGTTCATTTTGCATTTTCAAAACAATAAAACTTTATGTCCCGGCAAGATTCAAACTCATAGCAGCTAGCAAGTACACACACACACATCACGTTTGTAACTTTGAGTTGTACCTCTGTTCTGCAACACTGAACAACTCCCCAGAGCTATTTTCACAGCAAAGACATGACGTTCAGGCAAACAATAGATAACCAGAGGCCTGCTCCTCAACGCTCCCCCTCTCCACTTACTGAACGTGTTATTTCAGGCTACTGTGGTGCCTGGGGTAAGGACTATTTCCTGGTATGGCTAGGAGTGGCGGCAGCAGGTAGGTAGAGAACAGGACGGTTAGCTAGAATGTTTACAAGCTGTACTATTTAGAAACTAGTGACCTCAGCTAAAGCTCAGCTAGCCAAACCTGTCAGTAAGTAAAGACTTTCATGCTGCAGCCCTTTGTGGGTTTGGGGGATATGATCCAATTGATATCTAAGGTGAAATTTTGGAAAGAGACTTCAAGGTTTTTGAATCTGCTCATTTCCATGCCATACCTCAAGTTTTCCTTGCTGAGGTTTGTAAACCACTTGAGGGCAGTCTCGCAGGATGTTGCTGTACAGGATCCTGAAGTGCTGCAAGTTGTCTTTCACAATATTAGCCACCTTGGATTTGTCTTCTCCAATCACCATCCTAAAATCCCCTTTAAGAGCACAAAAGATTGATTTTATTTGCCTTTTTTCTAGAAGAGAAACAATCTGTGTATATATTTGTTAAATGAAATATGTAAGCAAGTTACTACCTGCTACTCATCAAAGCTACAACTACTAAGCAACTAACCAACCATAGATAACTGATTTGGACATAAAAACATATTAGATATCAACCCAATAGCTACTATTAGTTGACTTAGATTTAAACTTGAAATTTGTCCCCGAAGTAGCTGCCGGCTTCTGATCCTCCATCCTTTTGAAATTACGGCGGTGTATTCTGGGAAATTTTTGACCAAGGCTAGGCTACAAGACATCACCTGTGTATCCTTGCTCAGCTAGCTGATCGGCTAACAAACGGACAACAGCCGCCTCGGTAGAACATGAACATTGGAACACGCCTTGGCGGTTCCTGATGACATATCTCCTAGGCAACCTGGGCGGGACCAAGACATCACAGCAAGGTTCCTTGGCATTGAGAAACACCCCAGGTTTAGAGCTTCCCCTATTGGGCACCTAACTGCTCCACAAAGCTGTTAAGTGCAGAATCTGTCCAGTAGAAGGCTGCAGAGTGCTGTCAACTATGAAACTAGTTAAGTTTCTTACACAACAATCACTGAGCTCAATGGTAAAGCTCTAGCTCAAAGATTAAAAAAAAATTGTACTGTAAGCTGTTAAAAGCCACGTGCGCAAAACATTTGACTAATTAGCACCACGCAGTTCAGAGTAGGTACCACAGCTACAGTAGCCCACATGCACCAAATAGGCAATGTATCACTGTGGCGGTGCATGTACAGACGTGGGGGAGAGGGAGACTGTAGCACTGACAGCTATACAGAAAACGCCACACCAGCTTCAACCATCTGCATCTTTTGATTACTGTTTCTGCTGCTTCCTGCAGTCAGCATCTCTCAGACATATTTGATTATTAACTATCCTGTGTAGTAGGGGTGGGCGGTATAAACGGTATACAGTAGAAATGATATTAATTTGGCCAACGGTTGAGATTTTGACTACCTATATCGGCCTATCGCGGGAGCGCATGTTGATGACGTCATCAAGTGGCATCTGTTGAGGCTGAAAGCATGGAGTCTGTGATGGAGGAGGTTCTCGTAAAGAAGACCGGTGCAACATCGGTCATTTGGACTTGGTTGGGCTTTAAGGAGTCGGATGTGGAGCAGAACAATGTAATCTGCAAAGTATGCCGGAAGAAAGTATTAGCGAATAGAGGGAATACATCTGTTATGTCCCCTTTTAGTGGGGCCTGTAAGTGCTTGTGGTTATTATTGTATTTTATTTAAACAGTTTAACCGGTTCTTGTTATTATTGTCATTTGTTTTACCACCTCAAAACGAAGCACGTTGTGGAATACGAAGAAAGCCAAAAACAGCCAAAAACTGCGTCCTCAACAAACGCCCAGTCAGTCGAGCGGTAAGAAAAAAAGTGGTCTTACACACCAGCAGACAATATTTTACAAGCATTTGCTAAAGGCACTCAGTATGAGAGAAATAATCAACAGTGGATTGATATTACAAATGCCATTACCACGTAACTGTGTAAGGACATTCCATTCCATTCCATTTATTTGATAAAGCACATTTAAAAACAGCATGTGAGCTGACCAAAGTGCTGTACAGGGGTAAAAACATATAGGGTTAAAAGAATAATATAAAAGAATAAAACAACTAGAGCAAAACACAAAGAACCATGAGAAGTCAATAAAATCTGTAAAAGAACAGTGTAAATAAACCATCGATAAAATAGCTAGGTAGTAAAAGCAAGAGAATAAAAATAAGTCTTTAAGTGGGACTTAAAACCCCCAATGGAGGAGGAGATTCTGATATTCAGTGGGAGATCATTCCAAAGTTTTGGAGCGCAGACAGAAAAAGCTCGTTCACCACGGGTTTTGCAGCGTTGACGGGGAATCTGTAGTAGGTGTAGGTCACCTGAACGGAGAGTCCTGCCTGGCACATAAGGAGTGAGTAACTCGGATATGTAGGGTGGTGCTAAGCCATTCAGCGCCTTAAAAACAAACAATAAAATTTTAAAACGTATGCGGTAGTGCACAGGAAGCCAGTGAAGTCTTGCTAAAATTGGAGTGATGTGCTGACGACGGCCAGTATTGGTCAGAAATCTTGCCGTCGTATTTTGTATCAGCTGAAGGCGAGATAATGCGGCTTTTGAAATACCAAACAGAATTGCGTTGGAGTAGTCCAACCTTGAGGTGATGAAAGCGTGAATGGTTGTCTCGAGGTGGCGCCGATTCAGAATGGGTTTTAGTTTGGAAAGACGTCCCAGCTGAAAAAAACATGATTTAACCATGTGATTAACGTGAGAGTCCATTTTTAGAGCCACATCCATTTTAATTCCAAGATTAACAATTGTTTGACTAATTTTAAAAGGAAGAGCAGAAAAATCAGGAGCGGAGGAAGACGAGCCATTAGGAGTAAAAACAATAAACTCGGTCTTAAAATCATTCAGTAGCAAAAGATTTGCTGACAGCCAGTCTTTAACCTCACTCAGGCAATCAAGGAGCGGCTGGATGGAGGTAAAAGCCTTCAATGGAACATAAATCTGGCAGTAGTCCGCATAAAGATGAAAGTTAATGTTAAACTTCCTGAAGATTAGTCCCAGTGGAATAATATAAATGCTAAATAAAAGGGGGCCGAGGATAGACCCCTGTGGAACGCCCCAAGGAAGAGCAGCAGAGGGAGATGAACAGTCGTCCATTCTAACTCTAATAGACCTGTTGTCAAAGTAGGAGCAGAACCAGTCAAGCGCGGATCCCTTAATGCCGACCAAATTCTCAAGGCGGGACAATAAAATGTCATGGTCCACCATGTCAAATGCAGCTGAGAGGTCCAACATCACCAGGGCAACATGGGAACCGGAATCAGTGGCTAAAATAATATCATTAAAAACCCTGATGTGAGCAGATTCTGTGCTGTGATATTGTCTAAAACCAGACTGAAATTTATCCAAGACGCCAAAGTTGTTCAGATGGGGCATGATTTGATTATAAACAGCCTTTTCCATCACTTTTGACAAGAAGGGGAGCTTTGAAATGGGGCGAAAGTTCCCGAGGTCAGTTGGGTCTAGGCCAGATTTTTTCAGTAGTGGTTGAAGCACGGCATGTTTAAAAACAGAGGGTATAATTCTCGAAACAAGGCTGGAGTTAATAATATTGAGCACATGAGGGGCTACCACTGGAAGAACCTCCTGGAAGAGTCTGGCTGGTACAATGTCATCAGGACATCCTGATGGCTTCATGGAAGATATTAATCTCTCCAGGGCAGGCAGTGTAATCGGCTCAAAATGGTCAAAGCATCCGGTACAAACTGATACGGGTAGCAGAACATCTGCAGGGGAAATGATTAGACTCCTAATATTGGAGACTTTGTCTAAGAAAAAACTTAAAAATTGGGAGCAGAGATCATCTGTGATTGCAACTGTAGGAGAGTAATCACTCGACAAAACTGCATTTAGCGTTTTATATAAAACCCTCTGGTTCCCAGAATGGGTAGTAATAATGCTGGCAAAGTATTTATTTCTAGAATTCCTGACTGCTTTCTGATACTCATCTAGGGCATTTCTAAAAAGTTCATGGGAAATGGATAGTTTATCCTTCTTCCATTTGCGTTCACACCTTCTGCATAATCTTCTGAGTTCATGTGTGTGAGAGTTTAACCAAGGGTCAGATTTTGGCTTAGGGCGTCTAACCTTTAAAGGAGCAACGGTATCCATCACCATGAGACCGGCTGAGTGAAAAACACGCAAAGCATCATCTGGATTGGTGTAAAATAGGGTGGAGGCCGGCAGTTCAGTGAAAGAAGCACAAAATCTATCAGCTGTAACCGGGGTAATAACCCGTGTCTGGCGCAGCACCACAGGCCTTTTACCTAAGCTCACCGGACAATCAAAATCAAACAAAACTGGAAAATGATCAGAAATGACAGTTTCATCAACAGACAAATTATTAACATTTATCCCATAAAACATCACTAAATCTAAAATAGACTGGTTATGGGTAGGAACCGACACAACCTGCTTAAGACCGAAAGAATCAAGTGTATCAGTAAAATCTTTCACAAGGGGCTTGGCAGGACAGCAAACATGAACATTAAAATCACCCATAATCAGGGCTCGTTCGTATTTTGATGTTATTTCTGCCAGAAGTTCTGACCATTCTTCAATGAAGTCCTTATTGAATTTAGGGGGGCGGTAAACAAGCACACAAAGGACTGGATGGGTATTACCCAGTTCGAAAGTAATCAGTTCAAAACTATTGATGATGGTGGTGAAGGGTACCATCTTGCAGGGGATATTCACTTTGAAAATAGTCAGCAATCCTCCCCCGCGGCCCGAAAGCCATGGTGCCGTTCCTTACAGTGGAGAAAAGCGGCTTTCGGGACATGATTAAGACACTCGATCCACGTTCCGAGGTACCGAGCCGCAAACACATCAGCCAAACAGAGATGCCAAAACTGTACGAGAATGTCCGCGAGCAAGTAAAGCGAGAACTCCAAGGAATAACACACTATGCAACTACGACGCGAGTATGTTTAGAAACAGTCATTTTGACATATATACAAAAGAAAGTCATATCGCAATATATACCGTTACCGCACATTTTTCAAATTATATCGCAATATAGATTTTAGGCTATATCGCCCACCCCTACTGTGTAGTTAATACCTTTGATCTGATGAAAACCTTTTATTGTGCACGTGCAAGTAAAAAGTCTGTGACTTTTCAGGTTTAAGGAGCTGTATAAGTTACACACCTGCATAAGATAGACCAGCAATCTGCAAGAAAAGGTCTTTCTCAGTGCAGCTTTCAGGGAGCATGAGGAAGGAGGCCGTCACAGCACTTTTCAGATTGGCCACCAGAGCGGCACGGAGCTTCCCATTCTCACTCTGCACCAGCATCTTCACCTGCACAAAGCACATGCAGCAAGTACACATGGATATATACAAAAAGCCTAAGAAGTTTTGACTGGAGAGGATTTATTACAGCAGCTGGGTGGAGAAGGACAGCTACTGACCGGCTTGTGAAGGCGTCCAGCAACATACATGGTCTTCCAGTGCATGAGGTCGTCAATCAGAGAGTCTGTGCTGATTACACCATATTTGATTAGCTTAAACAGAAAATGAGTGTTTAGTTAAAGGTTTAGAACTTACCCAAATCATTAGTAGAGTTATCCTTAGAAATCAAAACAGAAAATAAATATTCCGTCTTAAAAAATCACGAGAATTACCCTTCCATCCACAGGCACGAGTGTGTTATAGTACATTGAAGCTCCGTGGTCATTCTGTATGGAGCTGATCATCGTGGGGCCCAGGAACTTCAGGATGGAGTAGTGTTTGCGATTCTGCAGGAGATTCATGGTGTGCCACGTCACTGGATCATCCACAGCAAACACAAAGTCCAGCATGTTTTTCTGCATCCACAGATGGAGGAGGTTGATCCAACAGGAAACACGTTTCACGTAATAAATGAGGACACAATGTCTAAATACATAGGGATAAATCCGTTTTTATGGTTGTGACCTGATGTCACGATTTAATTTGCTAATAAAGTTTTTGCAACACATGGTTGAATAATGAACAAATAGTATTATAATATTAAAGTAATATTAAGTTAAACATTTGCATTGTTCTCCTCAAAATAAAAGCAGAATTTTTTTTATTTTTATTATTTTACAGGATGATGATGTAGCAGCGTTGTACATCACCGTTTAAAAACTCTTACCTCCATTTGACCTTGGCTGGTCCCATGCTGTTGAAAAACGCCTGATCCGTAGGCAAAAGCTAAGCTGATATCCTGAGGAAACTGTGCCAGTATTCTTCTGTAAAGCACGCCGGTGTTGTGCAAAACTGGAAGAGCCATTTAGAAAACGAACTACAACACTTGTTTACGACACGTTGCTCCGGTTGGGGGCAAAAATCGACTTAAAATAATACAAAGCACGAGAATGAAACTTTTAAATGTTACATTTCAGGAGAGCAACTTCGCAACACTTCGAATATTCACTACCACGTTGTTTTGATTGAATTAAGCGTTTTTCTTCTGATTAAACCCCACTCATTCATATCAGCTCGGAAGGATCAGCTGTGTGCTTCCCCCCGTCGACCAAAATATGCGTCATAAATTACGTCATGGTGCAAGGAAGGATGGGAAATGAAGTAGCAAACTGCGTAAAAGCCACACAGAACACTTGAAACTCATTTCTAGACATGATAAATAAATACTCTTGTGAGATTTTACATCTAAACTTAAACAGTTTAACTGGTTCTTGTTACCAGTGCAGAAAACCCCCTAACCCACACACACACACAAACAAAATTAAACCCGCAATTGGTTGTTCTCCTTTGTGCCAGCAGAGAGCATGTTTCCCCAAATGTAGTTGTCAGTGTTGTTGAGGGAAAATATTCCATTCAAACTAACAAAATGCCACACTGGTTAACACATAAAATCATTAATAAATAAAATAAATTATATGCTCCTCATCATGCCTTTAAATACAACAAATATATCTTTAAAACAAACTAGTAAAATGACACCAGTTTCTAAGAGATGAAGAAAAATTAAGAACACATTTAAATAATAGTTCAGCCGTCAATAAGATAGACAGTCAGTGTTTGTAATCATTTACTTTTAGGAAATATATTTTCATATCATCTTTATGTAAGCCCACAATAGGCAAACAACATGGACTTTTTTTTCATTTGCTTAATTCAGATTTTAAGTTCAGTCAAACATGAAAAAGACATTTAAAGTAAATTAAAATATCTTGATTAACCAAAAGTAAACTGTTAAAGGTAAATAATTCATAATTCGTTAAAATCTAGCACAAACATGATAATTAAAAAGAAAAATCCGATGAAGAGAACATTCTGTCTTTAATTCTTGGACTTGTAGACCCACTTCTCACATTAAATTGAATGAATAAATGTAGATTCACAACCGTTTGTGATTTATCTACAGCATGACCAAGGGCGGAAATCCCATTTCAGTTTTGGGGGGACAATAAACAATAAAACTTCAGAGAGTAATTTTTGGGGGGCACATGAAAAAAAATGCTCTCTACATACAGCACTGTATGTCCTTATAAGAGACTGACCTGTGACTCTGTGCCTGTGTCTGACAGGCTCTGGCTGCCTGTGCTCAAGTGACTGGACTTTGCCTAATGAAACCATTTAGAAACAATTTCATAGGCATTTCATTTCTTTCTTATAGATGTCTTTATCAAAATGCAAGTTTCTACTTACTTGACGTTCTGGAGCATTAAAAAACGACCTGATGTCTGCCATTTTTCGTTTCTCTGCCATTTCAACTGACCTGGTCTGCTGACAGTTGGACAGCAACACACACACACAGATGGGATATTGTCTTTAGAATGGAGCTGGAGGATATTGATCAACAATAATATCTTGCCAATTTTGTACATCTCCATAAGCATCTTTTCTTTTTGTTTTCATTTCAATAACAAGACTGTGGCCTAAAGCAGAATAAGCAATTCAGAATAAAGATTTAAAAATAGATTGTTAATAGTTGAAGCAACATGTCCTGAAATGACATGGCTATTAGCTGACCAACAGCTACACGTGTGGACGGATGCAAAGCATTAATTTTAAGTACTAAAACATATCTAACTTTTTCACAACAAAGAGAGAACATAAAATGTCAAATTAAAATTTTATTAAATCACATAACATGAAAGCTACTAAAATCCAAATAGTTCCATATTGATTTTAATATATTTGAATTTTTCCTTCTAAATATGTCTAGAAAAAAATAACAAACTTCAAATCAGCTTTCACAAGTCAAGTATCAAAATGACTGAAATCTCTTTAATAAATCATAGAAATTTTTGTAAGCTATTAGAGAATAACTCTGTAATATTTAATAACTTTATCTAAGTCCTACTGAACGAAAAGATACACAAAATCTAAAAATATATTCTTGAAATATTTGTTTAATTTTAATAATAAAAATTAAAAACATTTACTTTACAAATACACTAAACATATACATACTCTATAGTTTATCTTTCAATTTAATCGATCTCACTTTTCTCAGTTTTCATAGTGTTTTTGGGTCTGTGTGGCCAACGAGATCTTTGGCTCTATGTTTTACACTGAGAGCTTTGAGCAACGTGCCTCCACCACACATTTGCTGCAACCAGTTCATCCCTAAGCTGCACGGTGCACCTGCACTTTGACATATTGTAAACAACTGCAGAGCCTGGGGAAGAAGTGATAAGAGCGGTTAAACGCTGTGGTTTTCCATAAATCGGACCAGTTAGTTTTGATTCTACCATATTCATCTGCTAAATAGGATGAAACGCGGACATTTTCATCGATCTATAAATGCTCCGCAGATTCCAGGGGCAGGCCGTGAAAGCGTACGTGTCCAGAAAAAGGAACTTTTGATCACCTTAGTGACTGGAATAATAATAGTGGAATAATCCTGGAATGACCAGAGAACATGAAGTGACAACTTTTTTTTTTTTTACTGTGGTGTTGGTGGTCTGTCATAAAGGGATCTCCGACCGGTGATCAAAATCTAAAGATAATCGGTGTCTATGTTTGACATTTATGACCACATTTGACATACATATTTAAGTTTGTAGAACAAGCGTGTGATAAATGACTTACTGTTGGAAACCGCTGGCTTTTTGATTCCAGCTTCCTGTGAGCCTGCGGGCTGCTGTGAAGCTGCAGGGCAAACAGCGCATGTGGACCGACCGTACCAACTTGAGGAATTGGGGGGGTGGGGGGGTGGACTATAATTTCTCAACAATTAAAAACACATTGTTTTGTATTTGCAGACTAACTTTTACGTTGTGGTTTTAGAAGACAATACAGGTTTACTGATAGCATTTATGTGTTTACAATAACTTTTGTGGGGGGACAGCTTTGTGTGTGTGTGTGTGTGGGGGGGGAGCGTCCCCCCGCCCCCCCCCCCCTGGGATCTCCGCCTATGAGAATGAAATCGTTTCAGCCAGATGAATATTGATAAGGTCAGTGACTTATGACTACTGAGCTTCCTGTTACATCTGACCACTGTGGTGGTGAAAAAGAGCAGATTTTGTATGTTTTCTTATCCTGCAAACAACATGTCAATGTTTAAAATCTCTTATCTTGAAATATCAAGACACCACAATGTGTGACCTTTTTTCCAGTCTTCCAATCAGATTCCTGACATGTTCTGGACCCAACTTCTTTGCTGATGAGGAGGCTGGACTCCTGCATCTCTGTTGCTGCTGGAGAGAGATGTTGCCATAAATGTCAATTTAGCTAGAATCAAAGTGCAGTGCAGGAAACTGGCTTTCACCCACCAATCACTGTTGGAAAAGTATCAAGTTAGAAACTTTAATCTCCTTGTGGCTCAATATTCAGTTTGACTTTGATCCAAAATGTCAGCGAAGATGTTTTACTCACTCTGACATTTTAGCCTCCATCCTTTGAAAGGAATTGATATTTTGCATGAGAGTTTCACCAAAATCTGTGAGCAGATTTGACAGATCCATATCTTTAGTCTGCAGCCACATGTCCACCCGTGATCTAGTTTTAAGGGAAAATTAGCCGAGTCTGCCAAAGGAAATGTTTGCAAAAGTGTTAAAGTTTTTGTCACAAAGCTGTTGAAACTACAACATGGTAATAATAAGTTCATCATCAGAACTTGGAACATTTGTGAATAAAAGTGATTTTCAACCAATCAAATAACATCTGTAGGGGGTTTAAACCACTCATTCAAAAACAAGGAAATGCCAGGCGCAGTCACACCTAAATGATTATATATTGTGTCTGAGGTTTGTGAGAAAACGTCAACTACTCAACAGAAATCAAAAGTATCGTTAAATCACTTCATTTTAAGGTGCTATTGATTATTTCTCTGTAAAAACATATTGGTGGTCAGCGTGGTGTAACTGTGCTTTTCTTTCATGCAGGTTGCTGGATACCTTTTACATGCCTGTTTCCATGGTGATTAACATTGCCATCCACGCCTGAAGATCCATCCATCCATCCATTTTCTGAACCACGTAGAGTCGCGGGGTAGGGGTGTGGGGGTGTGGGGTGTGGGTGTGTGTGTGTGTGTGTGGGGTGTGTGTGTGTGTGTGTGTGTGTGTGTGTGGGGGGGGTGCTGGTGCCTATCTCCAGCTGTCAATGGGCAATCAGGCGGGGTACACCCTGGACAGAGAGAAGCATCAAAAGAAAATGCTCCATTAGCCACAAACACAGCTGCTCCAAACCTCTGAAAGAAGAAACAGAAGCTACTTTTACTCACCAACACACAACAACACTGACTGCACCTGAACGTCAGTTAGATACACAATACCTGGATGTTTCCATGATTAGGTATGGAACCTGCTCAGTTTCACATTTTGCTGTAATTCAGTAGAATGGAGAAAATGAAGCAGAAATACAGAATACATTTACTTGTAATGCTTAATCTCTACGGATTACCATTTGTTTAGCATACATCTGAATTTAAATTTGTTTCTAAGGATGATTTGAAGGGTTTGCTTTTGTATTTTTATTATTAGAGTTGCAAGTTTTAGAACTATTAGAAAGTAATTTCATTTACATTGTGATGTAAATCAATATTGGTATGTACATATTGAATTTATAAATTGTGTTTGATCCTGTTTATATCAGATTAATGAACACCTCACTGAGCTATTATAATCCCCGGGAATATTTATCAGTATGTTGATTTATTGTCTCTGATGCCAGAGTGTGTACTTTTTGCCATGGAGAGTCTTAGGTTTTTATTTTGCTGCTAAGCCTAAAATGAACACAATTCAGGTTTTGGTAACACTTTAAAATAATGGTCCTTTTATTATGTTATGCAGTACATTCTTAAGCGTTAATTAACAACGTGTCTCCTTATTAACATTACTTAGCGCATTATTAAGCATTAATAAACAAAGTGTCTGTGAGAGTTTTTTCATATTTCACTTTTCTTAAATGTTCTTTTTAAGTGAAACAAATCGCAACAAGTATTGATGGGCAACATTTAACAGTTTACAAAATAATTTTCTACACGTGCACCTCAGTGAATAGCGACCAAGACAGAAAGAAAATGGTTGGATTTTCAGAAACCCAAACAGAGAGACTCAGATGAAGAGAAAACAATCAACAGCTGTGCTAGATAGCAAAACAAATAAATCACAAT